CAGCTCGTAACAACATTTGATCGTTGGATAAATAAAGTAGGAGGTTCAAATCACGCATACATGATAGGCCAAGGATTAGTGGGAAAGCGAGCGAGGAATACACGATACACCAGGTGGAAACGGTCTTGTGGGGTGTACCAATCGTCAAAAGAACGCTCTCGTTACTAGAGAAACTCCTATTATCAGCAACCGTAACAGAGTAGTTAACACATTTCCGAGCTTTTACATAGCCAGGAGGCAGAGACTCTAAAAAAGACTTCTTAATGAAGCATCTTACTGCTCCTGTATCTAGGAGCGCTCTACAATCATATTTCTTCTCTGCCACATCAGAACATATAGAGATAGTGGACATCAGTGGAGCAGCCTTAGAGGACTGATCATCAACTTTTGTAGTAGTAGAGCCTTGGAAGGATGCAGAACATGCTGGAAGACAGGTCTCATCAACTATGGCGTCTACGGCCATCGAAACCCACGTTGCCTCATTAATGGAGGCCTTTGGAGGCGTCATGGATCTCACTGTTTGAGCATTCTGCATCTCCTCTGTCATATCTTCTGACGGGATAGCATTTGAGGACGTCGTTCGAGATTGGGTAGTAGCAACTTTTGCATCTGCTGGTGCCGTAGATGATGATGTCGTTGGGACCGCATTTCTGCAAGCACTTGCAATGTGATTTCGACCACCACACCTTCGACAGCTCACTCTTCTCTGAGAGGTTAGAATACGGCATGCATCACGTCTATGACCACTACGACCACAACAGAGACATCTCTTCTCATAAGCAGCAGGAGACGGACTCGGGCATTGTTCAGTAGAGTGACCACTTTGCCAACATCTCAGACACTTATTCTCACGGCGCAGTTTTTCAAAATCGACAAAGAAGCGTTGACTTTGTGCTTCAATAGTAGGAGTTGCATCAACTGCTTGCAATGGGGTTGACGATTGCTTAAACTCACCGGTTACTACTGGTGACGATTGAAGCTCCAATGAACGTGAACGACTTAACATCAGAAGACGAGCCCTCCGGAAAGGGACGTTATCAAGTCTATATGCTAATATCCAATCATTATAAGGGGGCCTTAAGGTAGCACAATACAAGTCATACAACTCATCATCAGTAACGACACTACCTTGGAGCTTCAACCTAGATACGATCGACTCAACTTCT